ATGCTTATGTCTCGTAATTATCCTAGTCTTTTAGACCTTGTATAGAAATATGCTTTGGTATTATTATGGGATGGTTCCTTGAATAATGCTTTGAGAAAATGGGTTTGAGTTTCTAAGTCAACCAGCTTGTCTGTCCCCGATACTCTACAGGATTTGTTTTGTTTTGTCTTGTTTTTAAAGGCTCTTGGAGCCGGCGCCGTGGCTCAATAGGCTAATCCTCCACCTTGCGGCGCCGGCACACCGGGTTCTAGTCCCGGTCGGGGCGCCGGATTCTGTCCCGGTTGCCCCTCTTCCAGGCCAGCTCTCTGCTATGGCCAGGGAGTGCAGTGGAGGATGGCCCAGGTGCTTGGGCCCTGCACCCCATGGGAGACCAGGAAAAGCACCTGGCTCCTGGCTCCTGCCATCGGATCAGCGCGGTGCGCCGGCTGCAGCGGCGGCCATTGGAGGGTGAACCAACGGCAAAGGAAGACCTTTCTCTCTCTGTCTCTCTCACTGTCCACTCTGCCTGTCAAAAATAATAAAAAAAAAAAAATAAAAAAAAAAAAATAAAGGCTCTTGGGCCCAAACCTTGAGGCAGCTGGGACCTCTCGTCTTTATTTAGAAATGCTTTTTGACCTGATGTGTGCATCAGTATACGTGGCATTTGCTCCTTACAAATGAAATCCTTGAGTTGCAAAGAGATTTACATTATTGATCTTTCCTTGATTTTAGAGAGTGAAACTGTTATTGGTAATGAGTGTTTCATACCCCCCTACTATTTATTCCCCTCTCTAAGAAAATAATAAAAATGAAACGGAGAGGGGAAAAAGCAAAACACTAGATTTATAATTTCAGCATAAAATGCCATCTTAGGTTTTCATTTTAATGCCTTGCTATATGTGAAATTGCCTCCCTTTTAAACATTTGAGATGGCCAACATTGCCTGTCAGCCTATGAACAAGCCTGTACTAGGAATGTTCACTCAAGGTGCTGGGCTAGGCAAGGAGCGAGAATGGCATCCAGGACTTCTTGATTTCTTCTAGTGTTATACACATATACACACACACACACACACACACACACACATATATATTTGAGAATATTAATCAAGAAACTATGTCATAATAATACCAAAGCATATTTCTACACAAAGTATAGAACACTAGGATAATGACTGGAGATATGTGCAAACTCCACACTGTAATTTTCACTATGGAAATTAGTTCCTACATGATAACAATGTTGAGACAGAGAATGAGAGAGACAGACAGAAATTATTTCTTAGAATAAGGCTTATACAAAGAAAGCAGATTACTTTTGGAGACTGTTGCTTTGTGCATGAATTCCAACTCGGGTATTTAACCATGCCCAGGCCATTACTTAAATGTTATGTGAATCTGGTGATTATGAAAAATAATATCTTTGTTCATCTGTATATTTCTAAAATTTTTCAATTGAAGTTAGTATTAACCATAGACATCAGATAGGATTAACCATGGGACCAGTGTTGTAGTGTAGCTGGTTAAGCCTCCACCTGCGATGCTGGCTTCCTGTATAGGTGCCGGTTGGAGACCTGGCTGCTCCACTTCTGATCCAGCTCCCTGCTAATGTACTTGAGAAAGCAGTGGAGGATGGCTCAAGTACTTGGGCCCCGGTACCTCTGTATGAGACCCAGAAGGAGTTCTGGATTCCTGGCTTTGGCCTGGCTCAGCCCAGGCTGTTGTGGCCATTTGATGATGAACCAGTGGTTGGAAGATCACTCTGTGTCTCTCTTCCTCTGTCTAGAACTCTGCTTTTCAAAAAAGTAAATAGAAAAATAAGTCCTTCAAAAAAAAAAAAAATAGGATTAGCCTGTCTGACCTGTATGAGTCACCAGATGCAGAACTGACTGTATCATGGTATGTGTAGTGTAGCCTGAGACAGCTGGATAGTATATTGTATTTCCCACACCCTCTGTGTTCGTTGGGGAAAATAGAAGTTGCGTGTGGATGAGCTGGGATCTCACATTTTGTAGAACTTGTATTCAAGTGTGAAGGGACCATAAAAATAATGAATGCTAATAAAATATAATAATTTCTTAAAGTTATGCATGAGGAAAATGGAGGAAAGGTAAAGCAACCCACAGAGGTCAGACAGCTCATGCGTGAGACAGTCGAGGCACAGGGGAGCCAGGTCCTGAGAGTGGTGTCTGGGAGTTGAGTGTATGGCATGCATGCGACCAGGCTGTGATGCGGCTGCATTGCGTCCTCTGCCCCAGTGTTTGAGCAGCAGGCTAGGATGGAAGAATCATCAGAAGATGACTTCTGGTCTCTTCTCTCTTTCCTGTCATGCTCTTGCAGGCCAACTTGCCCCTGCTGCAGCGCGAGCTCCTTCACTGCGCAAGACTGGCCAAACAAAACCCTGCCCAGTACCTCGCCCAGCATGAACAGCTGCTTCTGGATGCCAGCACCACCTCACCTGTTGACTCCTCAGAGCTGCTTCTCGATGTGAACGAAAACGGGAAGAGGCGAACTCCAGACAGGTGAGGGGGGAGGAGCTTGTGCTGGCGATGAGACTGTTCCTCATCCCTGCATGTGAGAACCTGTTTCTTGTCATATTTAAACTGCTGGTCCACATCTCTGACAGAATAGCAATAAGCCATTATGGCCAATTTGGGAACTGGCTGTGCTTGGGGTTTTTCACCATTTTGAACCTCTGGCCTGTGTCAGTTCCACTTTTATACAGATTAATCTTTGCTGCTTATAATAAGAAAGCTTAAAAGTAAAGGTGACTGAATTGCAAGTGTGCAAATACCACTGATTTCAGCTGTTAGACATGTCATTATTGAAATTTGCATTTCAACTTCACATATTTTACCCTTTAGTGTTATGAAATTTGCTGTTCCAAGTTTTCTTAAAATGTGATGATGGTTTTGAAAGCTGGCTTGTATGTGTTACTCAATAAACATAGTACAGTAGCTATTTGATGTTGATTCTGTATTAACTAAGAAAAAACTTCAGGGAAAGTAGATGAGCTGAATGGAGATAAGAATTACATAACAGAGCTACTAAATGCTATTTTTAATAACCAGTTTTATTTACTAGCCAATATTTCTTCTACCAGAAACTTTGCTTTCTTAAGTGAGAATTTCCAAGAAATGTAAAATAAATCCCTTTCTCTGTTAAGCCCTATGTTGTTGGTGACTAATGCATACATATGAAGCTTCTTGTATACCTTGTTAAAATAATTTTCATGAATGCCTCACCCTCATACATAGCTGCTTTCTGAATAGAAACATGAAGTCATATTTAGCAACATTTTCCTAATAGTGTTAGTGAAACGTGAAGAATCTTAAAAATGAAACTATATGCAAACATTTGTCCTGTACTTGGTTTTCTTCCTCTCCTTATCCATTCTCCTTTCTGCATTTCCTTGGGCCTGGGGGTCATAGCCAGTGAGAGGTTACCACTCTGGCACAGCTATGTTCCTGAGTCCTAGGTGCTTAGGCTCCCTAGAACTACTCAGACACATCTGTCTGTGACTGACTTAGTTACCCTTACATGTATTAGCTGCTTTACAAATCAGAATATTAGTAAAAGCCCATTTACATTCAGTTGTAGATAATTCTCCATTAGACAGTTTTTATGCTACAACCTCTGAAATTTTTCATTTTGCATAGTCCCTCTTAATAGCTTAAAAAAGTCCTAAAGCAAAAGGTTAAATATTAGTCTACTTCTGGCTTACTATGGATCTACCTGCAGTACAACTTTCTTATTCTTACCTGTCACATTTCCTTGGGCATATTTAAGACTGAACAGAGCATTTAGTGCTTTAGCTTGTAAAGGAAAGTACCTGATCCAGTTGTGTGAATGACATGTCTCCATGAAGCTGAAAATGAAGAGGTGGCTCAAGATAGATGGTTTACATGCGAGTTCCTACCTGATCCCAACCCCTGAACCCTGCAGGAAATACTTTTGCATGCTGGTACTGAGATATTTTAGCTCCATGTTTCCAGGATAACATACTAAGAGAAATAGACTGGCTGGGAAATTGTGAAGAAGAAAATTTATTTGGGTGGGGGTGGGGTGGGAGTAAAACAAAGAAAGGTTATGATACCTATGATGAGAGTAAAGATAATATTGGCAACATTGAAAATGAAAAAGGATCTACTCTGGATTTCTTAACTGCTAAATAACCATAGCAAGGAATATGGAAACATGTTTCATTCATTTCTCTGTATTCCCAGCCATCTTCCCACTGGTACTTCCCTAGTATTTCATTTTTGAATGTACCGTGACTTTAGACTTGCCTTGGACAATCCCGAGGTAAGCTCTGAGCAGTATGGTAACGTTGCTGTGAAAACTTCCTATTAAATTCCACAGATGCTCAGCATTCTTGCTGTGATAGCTGTGTGTGCCTGCATGTACATATCCAGTCAGGTCCAAGTCTCCTAAAAGGAGTCTTCAGTCTCTCTTCTCAAGTCAGAATTTACATGGTTGATCTTTGGATGGAAAATTCTCTTTCAAGTAGAACCCTGAAGTATATGTTACAGTGGAAAGATGACAAATGGGTTTCCTTAGAGCTGGGAGGAAGGGTAATGAGAATATGTTGTGTAAATACATTTGTATCTTGTGGGAATTTGATCAGAGCCAAGAAAATATGGGCCTCTGCAGTATTTTTTTGCATATATTTCCCACATCTTGTTTGCATATGCATTTTCCTCTTCTCTGGTTATTTATCTGTACATCCAGATCTACTATATGAAGTTTTATAGAGGATGGAGCTGTCTGACAGCAGAGCGTTTTTTTGTTTTACTGAATGTTTTGTTGGTGCATATGGTCTGACATGGATGAGCAGCCACGGTGAGATTTTGGAGTCTATTAAACTGGCTCATTAAAAAGATCAATCTGTTTCTGTAATAACACTGGGAGCCATCAGTCACTAAAAGAGGGAAAAACTGACACCTGAGGAGAAAACACATTTTGGTAATTTGTTCATGACATGTCACGAACAAAAGAGCACTCTATATTCTGTTTACAACTTTGGGGGTTTCAATTCTGTGACGATTGCTGAGCTAATGGACCAGACAGTCATCACGTGACTCAGGTATGGCTTTGCCACATCTAACCTCTCATCTTTAAATATGCTTGTCACTGTGATTTCTTTTTTTAAAGCATTTTTATTTACAGAGAAGTGATTAGGGAAGTCTAAGAAATCATTTTCTTTTCTTTTTCTGTATGGAATGTTTTCTGCTTTCCTTTAAATGTGGCTGTGGGAGGAGTTGCAGATCAATTGGACTGAATCTGTAGGTTTGTCATAAAATATTGAACAGCCTAAATTAGAAAAAGACAATTTTGCTTTAAAAATCATTCTGTTTCCAAAACATTAGAGAAAGTAAATAGAAAACTCAGATTTCTACTCTTTATTATTATGTAGAAGCTTTACTTGTGGTAGATCTCTATGTTTTCCATTCTGTGATGGGGGGTGCTGAAGAAGGGGTGGAAGGTGCTGAAGGTGGAGCTGGTTAAGAGAAGTGAGCCACCTTCACAGAGACAGACTGGGCTTAGGAGCACTCCTTCAAACTGCTCGCTGTGATGCTTGTAAAGATGTGAACCCTTGCCTGTGGAGCACAGAGGGAAAGGAACAGTTGGGCAATGATTCATTTCCTTGAGATCTCAGAGTGGATGAATACTACTATGGTTTTAAAAAAGTACTAGTGTCATGCTAAGTTTCATTGCTATATTTCTTTCCTTACAGCTCTGATATCACAGCCTTTTGTTCTAATTTGCTTTTAATACTCTCTTTTCATCTATTATGCCACTTCTCTGAATCAGAGGACTTTTCTTAAGAAATGATCTTTGGTTTTGCATGGGTTCTATTTTGTGTTTTTTCTCCTCCACTACTTCAAATGATTGTTATCTCTTTCTTATATGCCATCATGTAATGTAATTATGCTTTACATCCCTCTATTTTTTTTTTTATTTTTATTTTTTTTTTTTTTAATTTTTTTTTTTTTTTGACAGGCAGAGTGGACAGTGAGAGAGAGAGACAGAGAGAGAAAGGTCTTCCTTTGCCGTTGGTTCACCCTCCAATGGCCGCCGCTGCAGCCGGCGCACCGCGCTGATCCGATGGCAGGAGCCAGGATCCAGGTGCTTTTCCTGGTCTCCCATGGGGTGCAGGGCCCAAGCACCTGGGCCATCCTCCACTGCACTCCCTGGCCATAGCAGAGAGCTGGCCTGGAAGAGGGGCAACCGGGACAGAATCCGACGCCCCGACCGGGACTAGAACCCGGTGTGCCGGCGCCGCAAGGTGGAGGATTAGCCTATTGAGCCACGGCGCCGGCCTCATCCCTCTATTTCTTTTAGACTTTTATTGCAGAGGCCATGTAGTAGGGTTAAAATGCATTTCCTCTTCCTCATTATTACATATTTTTCTAAAAGACTTGCTTAGATTTTAAAATCCTATACTTCATCAACTAGGAAGGATCTTATGGATATACCAGCCCACTGCTTTTTCTTTATTCTTGAGGAATCTAAGAACTTGCCTAAAGTCACAAAGTTTTTTAGTGGAGAAATCAGCATATTTACATACCTGAAATACTTCACTTGCACAAAATATGTTTTAATGTGTACAATTTAAATAAAAGCTCAGCTAAGAGTTGTTTTTTTTCTTCTTTTCCTCATTTATTTCTCATATAATTGCTGAAGTGGGTAAATGCAATAGCATAATATTCTATAATTTTATAGAGCTTTTTAATGAAAGAATAGTCATAATTAACCAGGTTTTCTGGCCTAATGAGAAAGTTAGAAAACCTTGAAGGTTAGAGGGTCAGAGATGGTTGTTTTGAAGCTGTGCGTTGCCATGCATACCAGCTGAACCAAGTAGGTCCATTCTCCCTTTTCTGTAAAATGAGTAAAGTTGGGTATTTTTGTCTTTCTAAAGAGAAAGGTAGGTGCACTATTAGAAGTTGTGTGATTAACTGACTATGAAAAACAGAATTAAATTTGTATCATCTACTGTATTCAATATTTTATAAACAAGTTTAGGGATTTTATATTATATTCATGCTTCCTTGCTTTGCCCTGCATCTGTTATGCGTTCTTCCATTTTGAAAAGTGAATAGGCATTCCTGTAGAGGTTCATTTTGTTAGACACATCAATTGTGAAGGCTTCTGGTAAAATAGTGTTAATTAACATATCTATATGATGAGAAAGATAGCATGGCTATGCAGAACATTTTGGTTTCTCCACATTCCAGCCTCAACTTTAACTTGTTAGTCTTATTTCTTGCTGTTGCCTTTGAATCCAGCCCTACTAACTATTCTTCATTCCTTAGTCTCCTGTCTGAAGGATTCTGCCTTCTTTCTTCATTCTTACATCACAACTCTACATGTATTTTGCAGTCTAATTTAGTATCTACTGTGACTGAAGGCTTCCCAATCATAAATACTATAATAATGGTTACTATTTACTGAGCACTTAAGATTTTATCAGAGGGCTAAATAATTTACATATGAACATATGGCATTTATTTCCTGACCA